GACTAGCGGGGAGGTGAGGGGGGCAGGGGGTGGCTGAGGCTTGGGGAGGGACGGGAGCAAGGGGGACGCAGGGTCCGCGCAGGATGCGCTGATCGTGAAGGGGAGCTTCGCAGAAGGGGCGAGGCGGCTGCTGTGCTTGGAAATGCAGGTCGATGGCGGGCTGCCAGCTGGCACTGAGCCGTCGGCTGTTGCACTGGTGAAGGTCGAGGCTTGAAGCTCGGCCGGCGCCTGAAGCCGACGCCGACGCCGCAAACGCATTGCGCCGCCAGCCCCGTGCACCGCCCCGCCTGGACGCGCGACTCGGTGAGAAAAGCGCCTGTCGCGCTCTCAGCTCGCTGCAGGCTCCGGCTGCAGCCGCACCACCGCTCCCTCGGCAACCAGCCGCCCGATTTCAACCCGCCCTTTTGCCGGAGACCACCCTGCACAGCCTTAGCCAGCCTGACAGCACCTGTTTGAAGCTTCTGCCCGCAAGCTGCAGCCTGCGAACGCGAGTCCAACACCCACCCCACCCCTCAACCCCCGAACGCGGCCGTCCGCCGGGGGCCCTTCCCAAGCCCGGCGGCTGCCGCGCAGCTGCCCACCAGGTCCATGAGGGGGTCGTACAGGTCGTCGTAGCGCAGGCCCCAGTCCTTCAGCTGCTCCGCCAGGTTGGCCTGGTAGCGCCGCTGCGCCCAGCTGGCCAGCGGCTGGAACATGCGCGCGAGCGCCTGCGGGGGCGTAGGGCGCGGGTGAGGCCGGCGCCGGGTTGGCGTCAAGCCGACGCGGATGCCACGAAGTCCTGTGCGTGTGCGGGGTCTGCGACGTCGGGGATGCTGCGCCTGCCTCATGGAAGCCCGGCTGGTGTGAGCCGACAAGCAGGCTGCCAGCGATGCGGTAGGTTGCTGATGCCATCGCGGCTGTTGGTCAGTGCTCTCGCTGTATGCGGGTTTTGATGCATGTGACGGTAAGTTTATCAATGATATGCAACGCGCCTGGACAAACTACGTGCTGGCTGCCCGGCGGCACCAGTTGCCTGCCGCGCTGCTGCAGCGACGTGCGAAGAGCAGCGAGGGTTGTGCCGCTGCTGCCAGAGGCATGGGGCTGGCTCCGCTCACCATGATGCTGCCGCTAGATCCACCTGGCGAAACAAGTTCTGCTGCAGGGCGTTGGAAGCAGAGTGCGGGAGGTCGTCCTCCGAGTTGGCACCCTTCCCTCGGGTGCTATAGACGAGCAAGCTCAAGACACCTCTACAAGTGCACGACTTGTTTGCAGCTCCTGCAGGCCCGCACACCTTCTGCTCCTGCGTGGTACCGTGGGTGATCTCGCCCAGGGGGCTGCTTTACAAACAGAGCGTGAAACCAACAATCCAACTTTTATTGAAATGCACGTGCCGCGGCAAACTTCAGTAGGGTATCCGGCCAGGACCCCAGCACCTGATGAGATCCACCACCTGCGCGAGGCCTATATGTATGCAAGTGACAGCGCTGTGCTACGTGCCGGCTAAGTCTTTGCACCTTTGCGCCACTTGCGTGCCCCGTTGCACACCTCAACGCCACTTGCGTCAACAGTAACAGCCCCAGCTGCAAAGCCTTGCCCAACCCCGAGACGCACGGCGCCAAGCATGGCCGCGCGGTTCGACGCCATTGTCGTCGGCCTCGGCGCTCATGGTGGGCTAGGGCTGCTGCTGCTCACGGCGGGGCCCCCAGCTGGCCCCGCCGACCGAAGCCGCCCATGCCCTCGCACCCCTCTTGAGCCCACTCCCCCCCAAAACACCACGACGACCTCGCGGCCCCAGGCAGCGCCGCGCTGTACAACCTGGCCAAGTGGGGCTGCCGCGTGCTGGGCATTGAGCGGTGGGCGCCGGGCCACGGCAACGCGTCCCACCACGGACTCACGAGGATCACGCGCCAGTGCTACGCGGAAGGTGCGGTGACTCTTCGCCTCTCTCCCATTCCCTCCTGGTGACTCGCAGACACAGCGAGCCGGTGCGAAGCCCACACACATGGACACAACCAAAAGCAGTTTCATTCATTACAGCCGATGGCGGCGTGATCAGCCTCTCCCCGGCCAACCGGCAGTCGTGGGTTGAACTGTTCGAATCTTCCCTCAACCAATCACAGCGCCACGTTCGCAACGATCGGCAGCCTGCCGCCCGCGCCGGGCTGCGCCGCCGCGCGCTGCCCAGTGGGGGCCGCGCGTCCCGCGGGGGAGTGGGAGGGGCCCTCCCTGGCTCTTCAGGGGTGCGCTGGAGCCCCCACCGCACAGCGAGCACGTGGATACGCGCGCGCCCGCGATCCCCCGCAGGCGCCGGCTACGTGCCCCTCCTGCGCCACTCGTTCGAGGCTTACAAAACGCTGGAGCGGGAGAGCAAACAGGCGCGCGCGGACAGGCGCGTGCCGGCGCTCGTATGCGTGCGGGCGTGCTGTAGAGTTGCTGCCGGGCGGCCGGGCGCGCTCGCCCAAGCGGCCGGCCCCACTGCTCTACAAGCTCCGCCGGGCAGGCCACAGGCCACTGTCACGTGCACACCCCTCGCCCCTCACCTTTAATGAGCACGCGGGGTCAGAAGCGCGCCGCGCGGCTGTCCGCCCCCGACGAAACCCTGCAGGAGCTGTATCTCCAGACCGGCGTTCTCAACATCGGGGACCCCCTGGCCGGCGACGCCCTGGCCGCGGCGCAGGCGCACGGGCTGGCTCACGAGGTCCTGGATCCAGCAGAGGTGTCGCGGCGGTTCCCAGGTGCGCGTCAATTCAAACGTCGAGAACGACAGCCAGGGGTGGCCCCGCCGGGGCCGCGCAGTGGGACCGCAGCGGGCTCGCCGCCACCGCCGGCGGCCCTGGCGGGACCATATAGAGGGCCGGGGCGGCGGCCAGCAGGGTGGCTGCCGCCAGCGGCGTCGACTGGCTGCTGCCGGCGGCTGCGGGCGGCTGCGGCCGCAGGGCGCGGGGGCGTCCATTGCTTGCCGCGCCTGCTCCTGCGCGGTGGGACGGAAGCCGCACCAGCGGCACAACCGCGCCCTCCACCACACCAAATGGCCTGCCGCGGAGCTCATGCTGTTCACGCTGCGTTCCGGCGGGCCCCAGGCGTGGCCCCACCCGACGGGATGCGCACCTTGTATGAGGCGGCCGGCGGCATCCTGCGGCCCGAGGCGATGGTGGCGGCCCACTGCCAGGTGGCCGCGTTCCACGGCGCCGCGATACGCACTGGGGAGCAGGTGGGCGGGGCGTACGTCAGCGTCAGCGGAGGAGACAAGGGGGCAGGTGTGTGCGCGGGGGGCCGAGCGGGTGGGGTAGCTACCCCGGGCTGTGGCGAGTCCATGAAAAGGCGGCGTACGAGGAGACAGTGGGGCAGGCGTATCAGGCGAGCCCCTCTCGCATGGGGGCGGCCCGATCAGCGGCCGCCCGCGTGCACACCCTCTTCTCAGGGCTGCCTCCTCGACAGGGGCCGCGGCGCGTCCCTTGCAGTATGCTGTGAGGAGCCGCGGCGGGTGCATCTGTGACACCCTGTGTCATCCGTGACACCCTATCTCGCATCTCCTGATCCTAGTTGTACTCGCAATCCTGTCGCAGGTATTGCGCTGGGCCGCGCTGCCCGACGGCGGCGTCAGGGTGGACACCGACGCGGGCAGCTACCTGGCAGACAAGTTGATACTCAGCGCAGGGGCCTGGATGCCAAAGCTGGTGCCCGAGCTGGAGGTAATCCGTGTGGATGATGACCAAACATCGGGATGATGACTAAAACTGGGTGACTTGTAATCTGGTGATCTGGGAACCGTATGACTGAAACCGCGTCCTCGAGGGAAAGCTGCCCTGAAGGTGCCCTCATCGTGCACACATGCCAGCAACACACCCACGCGCCCACACGCACATGCCCAGGTACACACACACACACACACACACACACACACACACACAAACACACGCCCCCCCCTCCGTCAACAGGGCCTGGTCGTCCCAGAGCGCGCCACCGTCGGCTGGTTCAAGCCCCGCCGCCCCGAGCTCTTCGCGCCCTCCCGCCTGCCTGTCTGGCTGCTGCAGCTGCCCGGCCGCCCGCCCTTCTACGGATTCCCCGAGTTCGGGGGCGAACCCGGCTTCAAGCTCGGCGCCTTCAACGAGCGCGGCGCGGCCGTGGCCGACCCCGAAGCCCTCGACCGCGCGTGGAGCCGGGAGGGGGACGAGGGCCCCCTCAGGGAGGCGATGGCCGCGGTGTTTCCGGAGGCTAACGGGGACCTCCTGCGGTTTGGGGTGTGCATGTTTTCGGGGACGCCTGACGGGCACTTCATTGTGGACTTGCATCCACGGCACCCGCAGGTTTGTTGCTGTGTGTGTGCGTGATGTGTGTGTGTGTGTGTGTGTGTGTGTGTTGTGCATGCTGTGTGTGTCTGTGTCTGTGTGAGTGTGTGTTGTGCATGTGTGTGAGTGTGCGATGTGGTTTGTTCTCAATAGGCTTTGACAGACAAGGGGGCGTGAGTGTCGAAACGCAGCCGTTGCAGGGCTAGGGAATGAATGAAGGCAGCATCTTGGCCAGCGCAAGGCTTGCACAAGCCTGGAGCGAGCCAGGAGGGCATGCCCGGAGCTGGGCCGCGAACCACCGAGACCCCTCTGACGGCCCCCGCAACCGCCGCTGGACGCGAGCCTACCTCTGTTTGCGATTAAAAGCGCCTTGTCCTCGCAATGCCCACGCGCCGCAGGTGGTCCTGTGCTCTGCCTGCAGCGGCCATGGCTTCAAGCTGTCGCCCGCGGTGGGCCTGGCTGCCGCTGAGCTGGCGCGGCACGGCCGCTGCTCCAGCTTTGAAGTGGAGATGCGTATGCACCGGCTGGACGCCGCACGCGTGGGCCATGCACAGGCGTTGGCCCGCTTCGCCACGGCAGGGCCCTAGTGTTTGCAATATAAGCGGCTGAGCCATTGAACCCAATGCGCAAATGTACCTATTGCCAATGCATGATTCTGCAGCCAATGTCTTGTGTGCCTCTGCACTGAGGCACTCGACAGCAAGCGCGCAGCACTTTGCACTGTCACGCACAGTGTTGCGGAATGCGTCATGTGCGGCCCAAAATGATCAAGACTGCTGCATGTGGGGGCTTTCACATGTGCCGCAGAATGAGGCGTTTGCGTGCCCCACGCTGTCGCCGTTTGGGTACGGTCTGCCAAAGGAAAATGAGGGCCACCACTCTCAAATGGCACAGTGGACGGGTACTGGCCAGGGTGATCGGTGATCGGTGTAGTGGAATGTACTACTGGAGGTGATCAGTGTGGCAATGGGTGGAAGGGTGTCCCGGATGTGCGGCGCGCCGACCTGGAACGCGCCCACGATGCACCACACGAGCTCGTATCGATCGTGGCAACGACAGGCCGTCGGCCCCGCCGTGCGTCCATTTGGATGTGCAGCGCGCGGGACAGGCGGTGAAGGGCAGCCGCAGCTGGCGGCTGCATGTGCTGCCGGGGGATAGAACTCTGCTCGTGATATAAGCGATGGCATAGAAGCGGCTGAATTCTCAGCAGCACGAGGCGCGTGTGTGGAAAGAGGCGGGGCGGTCGCCTGATGTGGCGCGGATCGGCCCACACACCGGGAGCCGCTCACACTACCATCAAGCCGACCTTCATTGCGCTGCTGCTGGACACAGATACTACAGGCACACAAAGGTCCTATTTTTTCAGGCCCAAATTGCTCCTTGCTGTTGTCCCCGTGGCGGGCCACGTGCCCTTCTGACCCACATGGCTGCGTTTGATTGATCTTCGAAGCAGCCTATACTCAGCTAGAGGCGCGAGGATCGTGATATCAGCGTATTATTAAGGTGGCACTGTACACCGGCTGCCGTGACAGCTGCGATTAGACCACACCCGGGCGACACCCACCTGGCAGCCGCGCCAAACCAGCGTCTGCGCCCATAACTAAGCGCATTGTTGCCCATAACGATAATCTTAGCATGAAAACCCGCGACAACGCTGGCAGCGGCGCAGGCGGCGCGCCTTCGGACTCTCGACTTGGGGCCGCCATGGGGTGGGCGCGCGCCGCCACCGGCAAGATGCACATGATGCTGCTGCACTCCCTGGGCTGGGACGAGAAGAACATCCCCGCCACCAGCCTACAGATTATTGAGAAGCTGGGGGAGGGCGGCTTTGCAGTGGTGGAGAAGGCGTGGTGAGGCGTTCAGCCCAGCACCCACACCATCGCGAGGTGGTTTGTGATTTCGTCCAAACCAATGCTGTACGCGCTGACCTGTCGCCCGCGGCCCAAGCGGCAGCCCACCAGCTGCCCGTCCTACCCGCTCAGCGGTTGTCACCCGTAATCCTTCGTTGTCGCGCGGGACCCCAATCGCCGGTCGCCCTCGGCCTGCCTGTTGAGTTGTGCGCGCATGCATCTGTCTGGGCTGCCAGCCCGCCAGGAGCCCGTTGTGCACAGGCGTCCAGTGTGCACGACAGCTGCGCCGCACCTCCCAGTGCCCAGCCGCGACCGCTGCAAAGCTCGCGCGCCGCGCACCCCACAATCTCGCAAACCCAGGTACACGCCGTCGCCGGGCGCGGACGAGCGGCTGGTGGCGGTGAAGCGCATGCGGCCGCAGCTGGCTGAGGAACCTGGCCATTACGAAATGTTTCAAATGGAGATTGCCCTCGCCCGCAAGCTGCGACACCGGTGAGCGCCGCGCACCCGACCCATTCAGTCTCTGGAAGGTCGCGCTCTGTGAGATTGTTCGTATCGCACATCGCCTATCTGCGGACGGCGGCTGCGTGCGCCCTTGCTCGCCCTCTCCGTGACCCCAACGGCCCCCTCTCCCTGCCTTGACCTCAGCAACATTGTTGGCTACGTGGGCTGCGGCGGCGGCGCCGCGGCGCGGGACGCGGCCAACACATTCTTTGTGCAGGTGGGGTTTGCGGCTGCGTGGAGCTGTCATGGCCACCCAGCCCAAGGGGGCAGGAGCAGGAGGGTGTGCAAAGCGAGCACAATGTCAGACACAGCCGCCCGTTGTCGCACTGGGCCGCCCCTCGGTCCAATTCTGGCGCTCGGCCCTTAATATCCCCGATGTTGCCGCCCTCATCGACGGCCATGATGCACCTCACTACAACCAACGACAACCCCGCAACCTGGCAACAGGAGCTGATGCAAGGCGGCACCCTGAGGCGCCTCGTCATGCGCCAGATGCTGCAAAACCCCACAGCCATATACTCGGACGCGGCTGGCCTGGACATCTGCCTGCAGGTGGGGGACACATGGACGTGTCACGGACGCCGGCCCTCCCGCCATGCTGCCTCACACCGCTCGGCCCCTCCCCAACCTAGTATCATATGATCACCCCACTGCGATCATGAAATGTGGCGCGTGTGGGCGCCGAGCAGGGGCCGCCCGCAAAACGAAGCCGAGCGCCATTGCCCCGCCCTGGCCGAGCTGTCATGTCGACCTCGTCCCTAATGCTTCCTCTGAAGTAAGCGAGCGGACCTGATACAATCCGCTCCATTCATGCGCGAGCACAAGCAGTGAGGCGCGGGGTCGCTGTTTGACGCCTCCCCCTCCCCCAGGTGTCGCGGGCCCTGCGGTACATGCACATGGCGCGCCCGATGGTCATCCACCGGGACCTCAAGCTGGACAATGTACTGCTGACGAGTGAGCACGTGGCATGCATGAAAAGCACAGCCAGCATGTATTTGGAGCCGGGCATCTTGCGCGGCCTGAATTTGCATATTGTGGGATGCTTGGCGACAACGCCAACACCATCAAGCTGCTGTGATTCTCATATCTACC